TATTTTTATTGAATTTTCAATTGTTCATACATGTTTTTTGATGACTCATGATCAGCTCTTGACCGATGCTACGGCTGCTACTATGCCGGTCTCTTTCGACCAATTCAGCGATTTTATCGCAATTTTCGACGACAGGCCTTCCGGAGTGTGGCGCATCTTCGACCACCTCTACGCCAGAACGAAAACGTTGAAACCATCGTTGTGCGTGGAAATGGAAACTGTATCGGGTCCATAAACTGCACAAATTCTGTCTCTTATACACATCTAGATGTGTATAAGAGACAGGGTCCATAAACTGCACAAATTTTATTGGCGCCTTGAATTGCATTTTTGCCTTTATCGTAGTAGTACTGTAAAATATGCCGTATTCTCTCTTTATTTTGCTCCATGTTTGCACGTGTTAGCGCGTGAAATGAGCTTTCCAAAAAGGTATAGCATGACCCGATGCGACGAATAAAACTAGAACTACGCGCTCCCAGCGCCGACTAGCGAAAATACCGCAAGACTTCTTTGACAACCAATATATCCGAAGTGACCTGTTTACGGTACTCTTTTGGAAAAAATTCAGCTTTATCAGGACGGGTTGAACAAAAATTAATTTCATACCTACAATGTCCACCAAAATCATTCGAACGGACTCGGGAGAGATGTCGAACTCTTTTGCCATCTCTCTAACATTTGTCTGATGATTTTCAAGCACCATATCTTTCTCTTTTTTAAAATTTTTATCAGTTGAAGAAGTCGATGGTCGTACAGAATGAGGCATGTTTTCAACGATCCTTCGATCGTTTTTGAAGGCCTTATGCCACACGTAGGCTTGTGGTTTTGATAAAACTGTATCACAGTAAGCCTTTTAGAACATTCAAAAACGATTCCACTAACGAAATTTCGACAAGCATATGGAAGTATGCAATATTTCTAATAAAAAGTGAAAATTACAAAGCAGTATGCAGAAAAATATACACACAAAAAAATATATATACAGCAAGTCCTTTGCAATTATCAAACGTCAATTGAAGGGTAAATTAATGACAAAACTGACCCCACACTCACGCACTAACCCATGCAGAAGAGGGATCACACACACATACAGGCGGCACGCACCGGTCGGTAGACCATTATTAGCCACTTTCGGTTGGTAAGCGCGTCGAAAGAATGGAAAGGACAGCGACGGCGAGCAGCAGACAATCAGGCTTCGCCAACAATTTAGCGGCATTCACGATGGCGTGGAGTACACTGGGCAGCGGCGGGTAGTATTTTTTTGATTTGCGGCGCGTAATTCTTATTGCATTGGCTTTGTTCTTGCGCGCACCCGCTAAAGACTGCCAGCAGTAAGGTGAAAAGCAGCAAAAAATGTGAAGAGAATCCTGCGCGATTGCAAGCCTTTGAGTTGTGGGCCGGCGCTGCCTCGTAAATTATATGTTCGGTGTTTGTTTGAAGGCAACAGTAGCGTAGCAATTTGCTTTTGTTGCCTGCCGGTGTTGCAACGTTGTAATGCAACATTATAATTTATTTAGTTGTTGTGCCGTTGGCAGCGGTTGGCTACTGGCTACGCACTCTGTGTGGAATCCACAGCAGGACGGCAGTTTGGCGTTTGGTACGAGAGCGCGAGAGGGCGAGTGAGGGAAGGTTAAGTGTAATATTGCAAGTTAGCTAAATTACAATTACTGTAAATAACATAGTTGTTGTTGTGTTATGCCTATTGTAATTTTCGCTTAATTGAAACATTAAAATGTGATAAGTGCAGAGAAGATGGAGACAGTACGATTTCACTGCTATATAAACATACATACAAGAATATTAATGTATTTATAAGTACATGTCACGTGAGGTGGTTTAGTTGTAAACGAGCTTGGTGTATTTTTACACCACTTATGATATATGAATTTAGATCAAGCTTCATTTGAAATATATATTTATTCGCTTAAGTAAAATACCGTCACCAGATTTACAGTCATCTACATTGACCCTTTTCAATTAGGCAGCACTGAATTTGACCCAATCTGACTAAAAACTCTCTAGTTTCACACAATTGAATATACATCTTTATTACGATCGCTTTGTCCATTTTTCCATACACTTGTTATAAATCTCGGTTGAGATGCTCTTTATCAATACAGTTTCGTTGAAAACCAACTGTCGAACACATACTAATTGAGATATGGATATCAAAGTTCACACAAACATAAAAATGTTGCATCAATCAAGGGGGAAAAAAAAATAAAATTTATACCAGTCCGGGTCAAATTTGATCAGATTGTATATAAGCAAATTTCTTAGAATTGAAGCACCGTAAGAAGCCAGTATAGGTCCACTTCAACTTTTATGTACAGAATAGTTACTTCATCTGTCTACTCATGCGTTTTAAGTACTTTTATACAAGCCTTTGTGCAAGCCCCTCGAAAAATAAGGGATCAGTGCTAAATTTAAGACAGAAATGTGTGCCGAGGGGAAAACACTCAACATCTCTCAGGAATCCGTTCGAAGGATATTGGTGGATATTTTGGGTATAAAGGACGTTCTTGCTCGACTCGTCCGTATAAAGCAGAAAAAAGATTACGTAAACAAGTCTCTTTGGACGTGCTCGATTATAACTGGCGGTGATACAAGGTTTATGAGTTTGACATGCAAACTAGTCAACAATCATCGGAACGGAACCTGTTTTCAGTCGACCAAAGAGATAAAATAAAATTCTTATAAATAAAATATATATCTTATTATCGAAACGAGAACCTTCGGCCACTTCCCTCATTTGCTCTGCTATATTAGCTGGTACTGTAGAGTTCTTTCATTACGATGGCAACAGTATTGCAATTTTCATAAGTTAAATTGGATGAATACATACTAGATAAAATTGTACATATGTACATAAACTGGCTTCCATACCTCTAATAGGACGCTTGTGAAAATTTAAAATTTTCCAACTCAATGCCAAACTCCAGCAATTACGCTTAATTTCGTTGAATTTAATTTATTAACTTCAGAAGAAATTATCACCAACATACCCGAAGAGCGTCACTCGTAAGTGGCAGCTTCCGCTATTGCTTTAATACCACACACATACCGCACTTATATAAGCAATTATAGGTCTCGCTACCTTTGCGCAAACACCTGCTCAATCTGCTCAATTTTCTAAATAATTAATCAAAGTATTTATTTATTTATTTACTTAACGTTGGCTGCCTTTGACGTACAAATACTTGCCTAAATACTTAAAGAAGAATTTTCCTTACGCTGTTTTTTACTCCTTTCAGGATGTCTTCACTCTTGTTATAAATTGTACACAAATTTGTTGTTATGCTTGCGTTGTTGCTGTCTCTCTGTATGACGCGTATTCGTTTCGCTGGCAACCCTTCTTCCGTGAGAGTTGCCTCGACATTTTGTTCTGCGTTGATTTGATGTCTCTGCATACGTTTTATTGATGGCGCTCAGCGGGGTTCCATATATTGCAATTTTCCATGATTGACATATAATGTGTGTAGTCTCTAACGGTACTCTTGCTGAAAGTATGCATATGATATGTACTGTATATGTATGTATGTGGCGGGGGAATACGAGATGTTTCTGTGACTGTTCGTTTCGCGGCTTGTAACATGAAATTATTTTTCAATTAGCGCTCTTTGTGATATTTTGTGCTTGTGACATGTTTTGACATGTCAATTGTACATGAAGTTTATTTAAAGACAACGGAATTAACTAAAAATTCTTTAAATTTCAAAAGATGAAGGTTATTCGAAAAATCCTTGGTGTTTTAAACAAAATACATAAATACATACTAAAGAATGATCCATTTCGAGGTTCCCTACTTTCTTAAAGAAAAAACATGGAAAATTCTAAATTAATGCGGAATGTTTATTACCATTCGAAAGAACAATCCTTGGGACTTTTTTTTTTTTTTGAAAATTATATCACTTAAATGGTGGCTATCCGTTGAATTCAATTTTCGATGACTCTTTCAAGCATTTTGACCGGACTGGCATTTAACTGGCGAATGACAAGCGTAACGATTTGCTCCAAGGCCTGAATCGAAGTCAGATTGTCCGCATAGACTTTAGACTTTACATATCTCCACAGGAAAAAGTCTAACGGTGTGAAATCACACGTTCTTGGTGACCAATCGCCCGCCGAAAACGTGAAATTATCTACTCACCGAAGTGTTCTCTCAATAAATCCAGAGATTGATGTGATGGGTTGGAAGAACCGTCTTGTTGAAACCAAATGTCGCCGAAATCACGAGCTTTAAATTATAGTCGGTTATCATGACGCGGTATTGGTCGCCATTGACGGTTACGTTCCCACCGGCATCATTGAGCCAGAAATGGGACTCATTACTGAACGAAATTTGGGTAGAAGACTTCGGATCTTCTTGGAACTTTGCAAGGGCCGATAAAGTGAAGCGATATCGGTTTGGAAGGTTGATCGGTTTCAGTTCTTACACAAGCTGTGTTTTGTGTGGTCTTGACGAAAAATGTGCCAAGTCGTTCCATACGTCAGTCCGAGTTGATGCGAACGGCGGCGAATCAACGGCTATTGAAAAAGGTTGTACTTGGATCACCTGTAAAAGCTTGTGAGAGGCGAGCAAGACCGTTCAGCTTCAATAGTTCAAAAGACGGTATTTTCGTGATACCAAAATTGCTAGGTATGAATTGAGGGACTCCCATGTGGACTCCCACTGTGAGCCCTTCAGAAATCCGTTGAGACGAATAACATACAGTTTTTTTTTTGAGGTACATTTGGTTTCGGTATTAACCGAAAACACTTGAACAGAAGAAAACCCCGTTCTCTGTGTTGTCAAAAACTTCTAGGTTTGATTTAAAATACTCTCATGTTTCGAAATGAAGATAAGTTAAATATTTCGGATTTTATGTATGGTTATACTAAGATAATGGATTCCCTTATAAAAGACAAGCCAGAAATATAAGCTACTTCATTAATATAGTACATATTTGGCTTTTTCAAAAAATTCATGAGAATTATTTCTTCTCTTTTACTTTCCTTAGAAGCCAATGCACTGATGGGCGCCGCAGATTGGACAACCGGTTATCCGTCGTACAATACAAGTGCCTATACGCCCTATCGAACCCACAACCCTTACCAATATCCGCATCACACACCGAGCGCTGGCGCGCCCTCCAATCTGCCACACTGTGGCTACGATCCTAGCGTACCGACGACACTGACCACCGATCATAGTCTTGCGGTACCCGGTATGCTAACGGACATGACCTCTTTATGTGATTATCCACATAGCGGCATGGCAGCACCCACTGGCACCTACATGCCGCATGCGCAAGCACCCATCTGCAGCCCCAACCACTACGACGCTGGCAAAGCGGAGCTGGAAACTTTGAACAACACCTACCCCTCATACAATAATTTTGCCAACGGCTACAACAATTACAATTATAGCAGTTGTGCCGCTCAAGGTGGCGGTTACCCAGGGCAAGCAGCACCCACCATGGTGCTCTGTCCGAAATTCTACTCACACACAGTCAATCAGAATGAGATTCATGTGCATGTGCACGACAACTCGTTGATCAGCTCGCTCACAGGGTACCGATCGAGCATAGAGATCGGCATTGGTACATCGGATCATGAAGCTTTGAGTGCACAAGGATCGGCGCAAGCATTACATGATGCCCAAATGGGTGGTGGCAGTGGCGGCGGTGACGGCGGTGTGGTCACAGCGGCGGACGTTAACAGCGCAGCGGCGATCACGAGCAGCGAACACAACCTCCAACAGCAACAACAACAGCATGACGCGCAGTCGCAGGTGCAGCAGCAACAACAACAAACACATTTGGATGTACCGCAGGGTGACGCGGCAGGAACGGGCGAGCAGCACAGCGGCGGTCGCAACGTGGATGTGGGCGATTTGGGCAACGTCTGGCGTCCGTATTGACCGGGCGGTGGTGGTGCAACCACAAAGTCTTACATACTTGCACATTGAACTGACTTGAAAACTGAAATTTGGAAACAAAAACCCAAGGATACAATATTTTTTTTTAATTGTAGATAAGTGTAAGTGTAATTTTTTTGGATTTTTTTTTAAATAGTATTTTTGAAAAATAGTTTTAATGACAAAAATTTTCGTGAATCATATTTTGTTAAATAAATTATTTAAAAAATAATTTTTTGACAAAAATGTTGAAAAATAATTTTCTTGAAAAAAATTAAAAAAAAAAATTTCCTTGAAAAATATTTTTTTTTTTTTGAAAAATAATTTCCTTAAAACACATATTTCTTTGTTATTTAATGATTATTTTTTATTTTTATTTCAACAAAAAAGTTTGGAAAAACTCTTTTTGAAAAATAAATTTTTTTGAAAAATAAATATTTGTTTGGGAAAATTTTCTAGAAAATTATTTTTTTGGACATATAATATTTTTCTATTATTAGACTATATAGAGTAAGCATAGATTATTTGTTTATTCACTTTTAAATATTAATGTAAATACGTGTTAGTGTATAATAGAGAATATTTGAAATACACAATGCTCACATGTATGTACATATGTATGTAAGTAAATTAATATGTATTGATATTTAACAATTTTTAATTGTAATGCAATCGTCCATAATGAGCTGATGTACAATATCGTATTTAAATAAGTACTCTTACCATATACACACATACATACATACGCACGAATAACACAAATTTTCAATAATTTTGTTATTTACTTTAAAATCGATAATAAGTGTTTACTCATAAATATTAGTACAACTTGCATTACATTTACTTAACTAAATATAGTTACATATATACCATATTACATGTGTACCCGTGTGTGTATTATATAGCGTGTAAGTAAATGAAATTAAAATGTTTAATTAAAAATTAAATACAAAGTAATGATTATTAAATAAAATTAATTTTTAAACAAATCTAGTTTGAAATTTATTGTACAACAGAGCAGAGTGAATGCAGGGTGGTAATGCATCAAATTTAAAGCAATATACATTAGGGTGAGTAATAAGGTAACCTATCTAATTCAAGGGCTAAGATAAACCATGAAATATTTTCGCTTAAATCCAACTTTACTTCATTAAGGGAGTTTTGCATTGACCGAAAGAAATGGTAGTCCGATGGTGCAAGGTCAGAGCTATATGGTCGATGCACCAAAACTTCCTAGCCAAGCTGTCCCAGTTTTTGCCGAGTCAGTAAAAATGTGTGTGGTCTATCATTGTCCTAATGGAAAACGAAGCCTTTTCTGTTGACCAGCTCTGACCCTTTTTTTAATTGTTGGCTTCAATCTCATCAGTTTTTGACAGGAAAATGTAGTATCAATCGTTCGACCAGCAGCTTATAGTGGATGATTCCTTCCCAAACCAATTAAACATTCAGCATAACCTTTCGAGGCGTCAATACTGGCTTTGCGACCATTTGCTGAGCTTCACCACGCTTGGACCATGATCTTTTTCGCACATTATTATCGTATTTGAACCACTTTCCATCTCCTATTACCATTCGCTTCAGAAATTGTTCGAATTCATTTCGTTTCAGCAAAGAATCGCAGATGTTAATTCGGTTCATTAAATTTTTCACAGGCAATTCAGCCAGCCTTTTTTAAATGGTTCGAAACCCTTTGATGATGAATGTTAAGTTCCTTAGCGATATCATGGTCAAGCTTTTCCATAATTTCATCGACTTTTTTTGCTTGTTGATAAAATATTGCTTTTTGAAGTTGGAAGTAAAAGTTGAAGCAAAAATTTGGCTTGATGAGGAGTTTCCGGCCACCGCGCAAGGAATATCAAACATTAAGGCTTGGTATGTTTGTTAAGTTTAGATGTAGTGAAATGAGCACCCAAGACGGTGAACACAAGAGGTTGTTACCAACGAAAACATCAAAAAAGTCCACAATGTCGGATGACCGTAAAATAAAGTTGTTCGAGATGGCGGGCAATCTAAAGATATCAACTGGACGTCTACATCATATAATTCACAAATATCTGGGTATGAGAAGGCTCTGTGCAAAGTGGGTGCCGCTCGAGCTCACTTTTGACCAAATACAATGATGAGTTCTTGATTCGGTGCAGTTTTTGGAGATGTTCAAACGTAATAAACCCGTGCTGCTTATTTGATATGTGACACTGTTCGCTTCGAGCTCTAATCCACAGTCATCGTTGTGGACTGCACACGACGGGCCAAACATGAAAACTCGCAACATTCGGCTGGCAAGATTATGGTTTGAAGGACGAAATCGCTTAAAAATGGCCGAACCGTGTCACAAATGGGTGAAAATGATAGCAAAAATCCATGAATTGAGCTTCGAATTGCTTCCACATCCACCGTATTCTTTAGATTTGGCTCTCACCGACTATTTCCTGTTCTCAGGTCTCAAATAATGCTCTATGGGATGTAAATTTTCGTCAAATGAAGAGGTGATCTCCGAAAATGAGGCCTATTTCGAAGCAAAGAACCAATCGTACAGCAAAAATGGTATGGCTATAATCAGTGTATGCACTTTCAATGGAATTATGGTAGACCGGGGACTTTCCTACCACATATTGAAGGCAAAAAATTTACTGTGAAATTCAGACTTTATAAAAATATATATGTTAAGCTCTAATATTTTTTAGATTTTGAAACAAATTTTTTTAAAAAAGTAAACCCTTCAAATCAACGTTAGATTAAAGATCGCTAACATGTCATACACTTATCCTCGGTACGTTCACTTTCAGCATACAAGCACGCAACATCAAGCACTGTAAAGATAACCTCGCCACGACGCCATAACAGTAGCTTGTCAATGCGCAGATAAGTCGGACCTCCCAGTTGCAATGCATGTCGGCTCAAACACTTTAGGCTTAACTCTTTTGACATAAGCACATGCACATGAGCAGGCCCCAGACGCATACAGTACTACATGCATACATCCATACATAAAACGCTAACAGAGAAGCTGTAACGAAGAATGTGAAAAAGTTTGACTGAACTCTGAAATAACTCTCTACAAATTCCAGCTATGAAACTCAACCTGCGCAAATTCTTTTCTTCCCTCACGAGGCACACCGAGGCACTCCAGCTTAAAATGTTCGACTAGTATTTAACGCTGAAAAAAGACTAGCTCCAGCCATGGGTATAATTGTTAGAAAGTTGACTCTGTACACACACATAACTTCGAGCTCACATGTACACCGCAAGGTGATCGTATACTCGCACACATACTCACATACTTCGGATCAGCAGCTTCTACCGGCCGTACGCTCGCTCAGGCGGGGAATTGATCACCTTCGGCCGTGGAAGCCCACAGTTTTTGCACGCGTGCGCTCCGCACTCAACGCTCCACGCTCGTCGTCGTTCGAGTCTTGCTGTTGCACATGCGCGTTTGCTGCGCGCTGCCTGCAGCTTGGGGCTTCGCATTGACAACTGAGTCGGTACGTGGCAGCTAATTACGAGCGAGAATTTGATATTGTCCTATATTTTGCATAATTTCTTTGCATTTTTTTGCATTCTACTTTTGTATGATCATTTTTTTTTTTGCTGATGTGCTTCTGTTAAGTTGAGACTTTTCATGTCTTTTCAATTTTACACTTGAGCGCTGATGCACACGCCGCTGCAGCGTTGCCTTTCAGTAGGGGAAATATCTTGGCATTACACACGGCTATAAATACTCGCAAATACTCATAATGAGGCGCATGCGTGGCCCTTGTACTTACATACATACATACAAACAGTGTATGCAAGTAACGTGGATCCGTCAATCAATGCGCCAGTCAGCCGATACATTTGCGCATCGATTGCTGTTCACATCGCCACTAAGGAATAAGGCAATCGAAGACGCTTCGAAAAATAATATGCAATTGAAGACGAGCCCTTTGGAAAGTACGCGTATGCGTTTGCTTGCTGCTGGCATCGATACCCTGCCAACTTGTTTGGCTTCATGCTTCAGTGCAATATTCGGTTGCAGCAGCATTTGAGAGGTGTATCTTAAACTTTGCAAGAATCTTATGCGTAAATCTAGATATCAAGATGTAGTGAAAAGTAGGCAAGCTCATACCAATTTGATATCTGTAAGAAGAAGTCTTAAAAATAAAAATTTTTAACTGCAAATATTTGAAAAACTCTTGGCTTAAGTTGGTTTAATGAATTCGGGGTCAAAGTTGCATACATTTCATTTAGAATAGTCAAAATAAACAAAACTCGTAAATAAAAAAGACAAGTAACGTTTTACATAATTTTGAAACTGAATTTAGAAACTACCAAAAATCGAATCTTTCAGTGAAATCATTGCAATTTGTGTAGAAACGTTCATTACGCCAAACTCTGCCTACAAGTACGGCGTTGGTATATAAACTAAAGGTTAGATTAATCTGGCCAATGAGCCACGAGTGAACCAGTTTTGGTCCTTTGCGACAAGAGCTGGCATTCAGTTACTAGGTTCATGAGGAGCAGTCATCCTTTAGGAATGCGAATTTTAACAGACTCTATGGCCTCAATATGGATACCTCCTCCAGAGTATCATACCGTGGAGACCTCATAATCCATAAAATTTTTGGTTTTCATGAATTGTCGAATTTGAGAGAAATTTTCCAAAAACGATATTAGAACAATATCCTTTCACCTCTAATGCTTTGACAAATTCATGAATCAATTCTTTTTTCAGACTGCCAGACCATTGTAGGGTCTCTCAAGCAGAAGGGGTAGCTATTAAGATAGCAGCAGAGGTAATTCAATGAAATGCCGCCTTTTTTAGGAAGGCAGATCTCCTATAAATCATTATTAGCGAACTCAAAAGAAGTTAAGAACAAGTCTGGGTGGCTAGTCACAACGGAATCGGTGGAAAATGTAAAGTCGATGAACTCGTTAAAGAGGAAGACTAACCGAAACCCAATAGAATGGTAACGAGCAGATGTTCGTGTCATCAGGCATTCGATCGCTGGATCTACGGCCCTGGTCAACACCCAGCACTTGTGGGATTTCGAAACCTTTTGGTCCAGAATGAAAGCAAAAGGTCCATGGAACATGGAATTTGCTGGTTCTTTGTTGCCATACGAGGGTTATTTTAATTCGGCC